AATAAAAAACAGGGTTTTTCAAATTGAAAAACATTCTGTCTTACGTTTAAAAAAATCATTTATATATTTTTAAACAATTCCACTGGAAAATGGATACCATTTCACAATTATTTCTTATTTCATTTTATTTCTTACATTGTATTTCTTATTTTGGGTCAGCATTTCATTTATAATGGTCTCCAGACATAGCCATTTAAAAACAAAAATTAGTGTTTTCCCCCTTTTGGCAAAAACCACCACCCCACCATCTCAATTACAACTCTCAGCTCCTCTGTCCGCTCATCCTGCTTGGCAAGAACCTCAGGAATGGACATAGAAACTCTACACCATGCTGGGACAGGGGATTAGCCCTGAGTTTTCCAGGTTGGCATGCTAGGAGTCTGTTTTTCTGAATGTTTGAACACAATAGCCATAAAGTGAATTTACTCCCTCATAAAATCCATCACAGCACTGGAGGGTAGGAAGTTGTCTACAAAAATGCAAAATACAGAACTAACCACCAACCATGAAGCTGAGGAAGTACAGTAATGTGCTCAGACTATAAGTCTCCATGGAGATACCCGTCTGCCTCCATCATTATTTATCATCTAGGTCTCTAGTTACCACTAGAGAGAAAAAGAGCCTTGGACCCAACTCATATTGGCTTCAGAGACAACCACACATACATGACTACACTTCTTGGCCCATACTGTAAGGAGTACTGCCCACTGGTACCACAAAATTAGGCTCAGAAATCTGAGAAAGGAATGAGCTTCACAGTTGTCTGCTTGAAATGCTGGGAGGCTCTCAATCACCCATGTCTGAAGGACTAAGATGTCCTCCCTAGTCAATCCTGTTTGCCAGGACGGCTTACCCGCACCCTTTATAAACCCCTCTTTCCCTCCGGGGGGAACAGCCTCCCATGCTGATGTAAGATGATGCAAGACTACTTAGAAGATCATTTCTTGTTTTTTTTTTAAAGTAAAAGGTACATCCATTTTCTTTCCAGTGTGTACATTGTCACCTTTTTAATTAGACACTATCTCATTAATAAGAAAGAGAAATACATTGGACCAGACACTGCCCTTAAACAGACCAGCTCTTCAGTCTGCAACATATGCCTCTGAAGAAATAGCAGGAAAATGACTTTAGTTTTATCCATTATGATCATAGAGAAATGGATTCAGTAGTTAAAAAAAAAAAATCTCTTTACACTAGAGTCAACCTCACAGATCTTGTTTATATCTAAATTGTTATTGGTCAGTGCTATCAAGTTGGTTTAGATTCATAGCAACCCTGTATAGGTTGTCTGAGGAGTGGCTGGTAGGTTTGAACTGTCGGCCTTGTGGCCCCAATCCAGTGCTGATCCTACAGCACTACATCAGGAATCCTGTACCTAAGTAATGCCCTACATTTCATAAAATGTACTGGCAATGTTGCTAGTGAATAAATCATTAATAGTAAAATTTACTATCGTTCACTAGAGTTGTTATTTTTCCCAAGTGTACTATTCTATGCAGCACATTCTAGTAGTTGCAGTAGCATAGTGGCTTAAAGCAGAGCTAGTATAAGAAGTTTAAAAGAACAAAAATAAAGACTAAGGACTTTCATATATACTATCTCACTCAGTTATCACAAACATTCTCTGAGCATGGCATCATTCTTCCTACTGCATAGAGACGCATCGAAGGTCGTGATCAGTTCATACAACTAGTGCGTTACAATGTTAGATTTGCACCTACATCTCTCAGCTGTTGTTGTTAAGTATCGTGGAGTAAGTTCTCATAGTGACCCTGTATAGGGTTTCCAAGGAGTGGCTGGTGAATTTTAATGGCCAGCCTTGTGGTTCAAACTGACCTTGCGGTCCAGTGCTTTATCCCACATCATAATTTGACTGCAACTCTGAAGTGGAATAGCAAAGTACCTTTTACTTCTCATCAACCCAACAAACTAGGGCTTGTAGGAAAGCAGGTATAAAATAGGCGTATTTGCACGATGTGTTTCATACCATGGTTATAAGTCAATAGTTTATAAAATAGTAATCTAGAAGCAGCTATACGTCATAATGAAGAGAGGAAGAAATGGCAACACCTGTTACCCAACTGTGTGTACAGGATAAAACCATTGTTTACAGCAAGTCAGCACTTCCTGAAGCTCCCAAAGGAAGTAGAAACGTAAATCGAGTTTGACCCCCAAGACACCTCATCAACCTTACAGTTTTACGTCTTGCTTAACCAGATCAAATGTACCAATCCCTCCTCAGCCATTTATGGATGAAGAAACAGGTCCAAAAGTCAACTGACTGCCAAGGTCACATAGTCGGCTGGTGGCAGAACTAGACCCCAGGTTTTTGAGCTCCCAACTTTGTGCTCTTGGCAGTGCACATTAAAGATGCTGGTGATGAAGTCATACTAGTAAACATTGTTTATAAGATGCATAGTCAAGGCCAGGGACTGTAGAAAGTATTTCACTTGGGATGATTTTATATAATCTTCACAATTACAAACCTACAAGGTAAATGAGGAAACAGAAGCTCAAAAAGATGACACAATTTCTCTAAGGCCCCACTGCAGGCAAGCATCAGAGCAGGGCTTGAGGCGAGGTCTCTCTGAAGCTTCAGCTTCATGTCTAGACCCAATTGCCTCCTCCTGCTCACCAGGCGTGGTGAAAATTGCAGTGGGTGAATATGAACAGCTGGGATATCTGCTGATTGTTACAGTTTATTTCATTAGTGGCTTTACAGAAACAGGATTTACAGAAAGGCCATACAATTAGCCGGCCCAGTCCTACTTTCACCACGCTAATCCTTGAGAGTTTCTCAGAAGGGTAAAAGGTCTTATTCAATCAAAACCTGTTTTCGATATACAAATACCACAGGCAAGTAGAGTAATAATAAAATTAGCAAATTTGTTAGAGAATAAAATGATAATTTCACAGGTAACACCCTTGGTGTTGGCAGGCAGCATCTCTAGTCCCAGATTCTGAGACACACAAGGTGGCTGCAGACATTCAAGCCAGCCCCTGAGTTTACACTATCTGCTGCTGCTGTATTTGCATATAATCAGTGCCTCCTCCCGTTTTTCATTTGTTGATGTTAAGAGAAATACTCTTGAGAACTAGCACCTTTTCAAGTGCTAAGAGGAAGACTTGATCACAGTTTTCTCAAACTTATTTGGACTTAAATTTAGGATAATCCCTTCGGGATACCTGCCATCACTTGGTCAGATCACATAGCCTCTCCAGATTTCATTTTAATTATTACTAAAATGAGAAGAAATCTGAGGTACCTTTTACATCAAAAAAATTCTATAGACTTACTGCATGTAAGTTATTGTTGTTGTGAAGTACCATGGAGTTGGTTCTGTGAGAAATAACTCTTGTGGGCATGATCCATCTTCAGTGAAGGAATAAGGGAAGTCTTGGGGGTAGCAGGTTAGGATAACAAAAGGACCTGCTAGGAACTTTAAATAAGAATACAGTCATTAAGACCTTGGGCAAGCCATTTTGGCTTCTCTGCGGGAGGGGAGGGAAAACTGGAGGTGCAGGTGGAAGTGTAAATGGGGGACTGGAACTGGAGGAGGGGCTTTTTTGGAGTGGGTCTGCCGTGCGGCGTGTCTGCTCATGTCTACTGGGTTGGGCACCCGATTTTGCAAAATCGAATAAAGGAAACCTCACTCTTGCTAAAGTAAGTACAGATTGGATTATTTGAGTGTTTGTCAGTATGGGCAATGTTTCTCACAGTTCTGACTCATAGCAACTCTGTATAGGGTTTCCGAGGAGTGGTTCGTGGATCTGAACCACTGATCTTCAGGTTCAAATTGACCTTTTGGTCCAGTGCTTTATCCTACAGGATTAAAGTAAGGCATTTATTGTTGTTAAATGCCATGGAATCAGTTCCAACTTACAGCAACCCTGTATAGGGTTTCCGAGGAGCAGCTGGTGAACCTTGTGGTTCACAGTCCAGTGCTTATCCTACAGCACCACACCAGGAGTTTAAATATGGTATTGTTGTTGTTGTTATGTGCCGTGGAGTCGGTTCTGACTCATAGTGACCCTGTACAGGGTTTCCGAGGCTGTAAACCTTTACAGGAGTAGAAAGCCTCATCTTTCTCCTGCGGAACAGCTGATAGTTTCAAACTGCTGACCTTGAGGTTCGCAGCCCGGTTCATAACCACTATGCTACCAGAGTATGGTATAAGAATTCCCAAACTTTCTTCCCTTCCTGTTTGATCAATCTCTCCCTCCTTTTCTTTTGTATCAGCTCCTGTTGTATTCAGCCAACCTCAAGCTGGCTTTTTCATGCTTAGGAGAAGCTTCAAAAAGTTCCTGAAAGAATCCCATTATCTTCTCAATACATTTTCTGTGGATTTTTTTGAAGCCCCCTCATACGTAATACTTACTACTATCTTACCAGTCCCTCATATTTATTAGTAATACTATCAAAGTGATTGTTTTCTACTCCCAGGAAATGTATGATCTTAATATGAGTCAGAATATAAGTAGAGAGCATTAACAGAGTTAAGACATTTATGATTCTGGCAAAAAAGGTACAGAGCACATTCATGTGATTGAATACTCTTTAGAAACCATACCATAGATTTTAGAGACGAGATTCTAAATCATTATTAATATAAACATAAAGCTAGGGCTTCTGGGAAATGTCTAATCAGAACCATGATCCTAAGAAGCCATATGTCTGATGGCCAAAATTGCTTTACAAATGCTAGTAATTTTTTTTTTTTTTAAATCATAGAGAAAACAACAAGCATGGCCAAGGAAATGTCTTTTTAAGAAAGATAATGAGCTAAAGCCATTCAAAAAGATTTACCTTCACTCTCAAGCTACTAACATAAAAATATTGATGCTAGGGAGCTTCAAGAAATTCATGGGAAATGGAATGAAAAGATAATGGAACTTTTTCCAGGAATGTGTTGAAGCCCCTTCACACATACATAGAAATGTTTGGGTTTCCCCTAGATCACTGTGGTGAACAGTAAATAAATGTTGTTTCCAGATTTTACCTTGGAAGAGCGGTGATTTTCCCCCACTTCTCTACACAGAACCTTCTTGGGCCGTTACTCCCTCGAAGAGAAGCAAATCCTTCATAGGGAATGCTGGACGTACCTGTGACAAACTATCAACCCAAGAAAACAGATGAAGTCAGAGACCGGCCGGCACCAGCAAAGGCACTACATCATGCACACAGCGCTATTGAGGAAGAGCCTCTCACCACCCACTGATGGATAAGGGTAGGAGATGAAACTCTATGTTGTTGTTGCTGTTAAGTGCTGTTGAGTTGGTTCCGACTCATATTGACCCTGTATCGGGTTTACGAGGAATACCTGGTAGGTTTGAGCTGCCAGCCTTGTGGTTAGCAGTCCAGTACTTATCCTACAGCACCACAGCAGAAAGTTTAAGTCATGCAAAAATCACAACATAACAAATTCTGACAAACAGCCAGAGAAGGGTTCTAAGAAAGGAAAGTATATTCTAAAGGGAAGAGGGATACAGAGAGCATGTGCAGCTGACCAGCTCAGAATTTTAAGCCAGACATTTTCCCATTATAAATAATAAAGTAGATGGTGTGGTGCTGTAGGATAAGCACCAGACTGATATTCACAGGCTGGCAGTTCAAACCTACCAGCCACTTCTCAAAAAACCTATACAGGGTCACTATGAGTCAGAACTGACTCAACTGCACTTAACAATAACATTAACATCAATTAATCCAGGTTTCTTTAAGAAGCATCAATCCCTGATCAACTTGAGGTAAAGATAATAGAATTCTGAGCATATAAATTTGAGGACCAGGCCCCTGATCCAAAAGAGCAAAGGCCCAGTCCATTTATACAACTCTGTCTGAATATCCATAGGGCTTCCCTCAGGCTGTCATTTCTTTAGCTATAACCAATCAGCAATTGTCATGGGTAATTATAAACACAATGGAGAAAAAGTAAATTCATTTTCCTTGAACATCACTCTATGTCAAAATTGTAGGAAGATATATAGAAGGAATGAAAGGGTAACTTTATCACAGATCTCGGTCACTTCTTGAGAGACTTAAGGCCATCTCTTTCTACTGCTGGGGGTACTGGACTGTGGAGAACCTTGGGACTTCTTGTTAAAAGAACTGTGCTGCCCTGAAGGCAAATGTTGCTCCTGGGGGCTCTAGGAATGGACTTGGTACTTCCTCAAGTCAAACTCTTTGATTAGCTGGAGATATTCTGCACAGTGATGAAGTCACACAGCCATGCAATCAGAGTTGACTAAAATGACAGATCATACATATACAGATAAGCAAGGAATGTAGTTATAGGCTATATGTAGCAATTATCCAGCAATAGTCATATTAATTCATTGAAATATTACCTGTAACAGCCTTAGCCGTTGTTCATTGTTGAATCTTTCCACTGCAGCCCAGAACCATCGAATTACAATATGATTGTCATGGTATCCTAGTAAAGCAATCATGAAGGCTCACATTACTTAACTCTTATATATTTAGCAACCAAGATACATGATAAAATACAAGATAAATACATTTTTCTTGGATTCTTTAAAGGTTGTCTGTACTTTAAGACTAAAGAATAATACTTCAAATATGATCATATGAGTGCCAAAAGTAAAAAATCAACAAAAAACCCACATCAAAACCATCTATTAATAATAAATTATTCTAAGATTCTGCTTTCATTTAGTGGCCATAAAATTACACTAGAGGAGAGAAGAGCAATAAATGAGTTTCTTTTTTTTAACCATATCAATTCTGAACAGTATAACTTCTGTTACTTAACTCTTTGTTAAATTGTTATTTAAGAAATACAATACCACTATGCAAAGCACTATACTAAGCTTAGAGGTACAATGGCAAAGAAAACAGCCCCTAACAGGGCTTTTGGTACAGTAAAGGGAGACATATTACTCAGCTAATTACACAAATAAGTACATAATTGCAAGCTGTTTTAAAGGCCTCTGGGACCATCAACGGAGAAGAGCCGAGAGCGGGACCCTACCCAGAGAAACAGAGATGCCTGAGATGGAGACAGAGATGATGACGTGGAGTAATGAAGCGACTGGGGACTTTGGACCCGGAGAGGGAAAGGGACTGTGGGCCGAAAACTGGGGGGAGGAGGCAGAAGTGTAGAGGGCAGGTTTCTGGGATATACCCTTTGGGTGGTTGATAATGCGTAGAGGGGATTGGAACCATGGCAGTGAGATGATATATGATGGAATGAATGTAAAGCTAAAGTTCTCCCATGTAAACTATCATATAATTCACAATAAAACATTAAAAAAAAAAAAAGCTGTATATAATATTCATATTAAGTGTATTTCATACTTTAAAGGGATTAAATTCCCACAGTTTGGATTAAGGCAGTATTTGTGGATTCTAAAACCTTTCAGTGAACTAAAATCAAGTTGAGAGAGAAAAATGAAAAGGATTAAGGTACAATTAATGATTCAAATCAATAAACGGCAATAACCTGAGTGTATAAAAGCTACTCTGATTCTTTGTCATCAGACATAATCCCAAATTAGAAGGTGTGTAGAAACCAAAGCTATTTTAATCTGAATCTCCCTTCGCATTTCTCAGTGGTTGTAGGCTTTGGGAGGAATCTTGCCTTGCTATTTACCATTAGGTTATTGATGTTTAGACTTGTTTGGAGAAGCAAGGAATCTACATAAAAGGCTAAACAAAACTGGACTGGACAGGGTGACGCATGGGTTCATGTCCTGCCTTTGCAAAGACTAGCTATTTGACCCTGAGCAAATAGTTTTCTCGTCTATAAAATAAATTCATTGGCCCTCATGACTTTAAAGCTTTCTGAGCCTATGAATCAGCCCTTTCCTGTGTTTCCTTTGTTGCTTGTACCAAACATTTTGAAGGAGGAGAAGCTAATGCAACTCATTCTATTCTCCCTAAACAGCTGCTGTGTGAACACAAGGAAAGTGGCAGCAGAGCAGCTTTGTCACTCAGCGCCAACCAGTTGGGTTAACAAACATGGCAGCTGAGCAGTTCACCCTTTTCCTGCCTCCAAACCACCTCAGAATGAACAGATTTACAGTAAAGTTAGAAATAGGTACTTGATTAGCTATACACAGTGAATACAAATTTACATGGTATAAAACCAAAAATGCCTGATTTGATTAACTGTGTTAAAATTAGTAATGAGCTGGTAATGTTTATGGGAACAATGTAAATTTTATAGTATATTGGGGAAAATTGTGTTCTATTAGTAAGTAGTTTGGTTAAAAAGTTGTAATAACTAAGCCATCTGGAGACTATACATGGGTCAATTGAAAAAGACTTATTCCAACAACTGGATTTCAGAAATAGCAGCAGTGGAAATTGCAGTTTAATACAGGGCTTCGAACCAATTCATACTGGCTCAGTCATGGCCAATGCAGCACAATCAGAACAGATCCAAATCTGTGGGTGACCCACAGTGATAATCTGAATAGAAAAAATTACAGATTGAAGCCTTGGATTGGGAGATTTGGAAGAGATGCAGAGAACTTTGTCAGGAGTCTGATGCATGAGATTGGATTACTGCCAAAGCAGTGTCATTGGCTATCTTGTTAGAGATTGGCACCACTGTTTCTGCCTCTATTGTCCTTGTTTTCTAACAGGGAAATTAAGTTTCTAGCAAGGTGTTAACCTGCAACTTTTCCTATTACAGTTATCATTCTAGCACATCCACATTTTCCAAACTCAGGTCTGCTCCAGTTTAACTTTGTTAGCCATGACTGAATTCAGAACCATGGGAAAGCAGGGCTAGACCGTAGCAGGCAGCAGTGATGAACCAGAAGAGGCAACCAGAAGCAACACCAAAAGTTAGTTAGCAGATGCTAAGGCAACTTTACCCCAAACTTTAAAGACTGTTTTCTGCTTCAACCTATAGCCAACTAGAAAACTGTTCAGCTATTAGTTTATTTTGGTTACATAACTGATCCAGTGACTCAAAGTTTGTCTCTTTTCGTTCTCCAAGTTTGGAATTATGGTGAACCTCTTAAATTTCTAATTAAAACCAAAAAACAACTAGTATTTGTCATGAATTTCTGAAGACTTTCTAACACTGTAATACATTTCAGAAAAGTAATTCTTTGTGTAAAGTTAATTAAATGAATTGAAATTAATGTATATTATGACTTGACAATTGAATTTCAATGGTTTTGGTACTAGCTGCTAATTGAAACATTACACTGACTTTACACATCTCATTGGTGAAATGTCAGATAGCACAGTTTTTACCTAACATTACAATAGCTTCCTTTTCAGTTGAACTGAATGCTTGGACTTAGAAAAGCTTCCTCAATAAATGGGAGTGCTGTGTCTCTGTAGGATAAGCACTGGACTACTTACTACACAAGGTAAGTGGTTTGAGCCCACCAGCTACTCTGAAGGATAAAGATGAGGATTTCTGTAAAGATTTAGTCTTAAAAATCCTATACAGAGTTGCTCTGAGTGGAAACTGACTTGACGGTACTTAGTAACAACAACTTCAATAAACAGTTTGAATTTTGAGATTTATGTATTTTTCTAGTCAGGTGTTTCAGCTGTGAATTACATACTTTAATGGAATGTAGAAAACGTTTACTCATTAGGAAGCACAAAGGGTGAGTGTCTTCCTGTTTTAGAATGAAGGTAGACTAGGCGGGGTTTGACCAGCTGGATGTTAGCTCCTGGTGCTCAACTAATACCACCATAAACCAATCAATTAGTGTTCCTATGGTCACATTTCCTCACCAACAATTAGTTATGACATCCTTCAATGGTGTGTAAACAGTCCTTCCCCCACTAGACAGGTGAGGTAACTAGGAAGAAAAGGGAATGTTCCTTGCCCAAGGCCTCAAGGGAGATGGCATCAGACCTATGATTACAATGCAAGTGCCTTAGCCTATCCTGCATCAGCCTAGCAATGCTGAGCCAATCGCCTCCTTAAATCCAGCCATCTGTAAGTCAAATTTTACCTCCTCTATATTCAGTGTTGTTCCTCCAATCACTTAAGTCGATTTCAGCTGTGCCTGCAATGACCAGTTCCAGTTCTCTTGCATCAAAAACTGACACCAGCCTGGCATCCACCACCTGTGGAATAAAAAGAGCAGAGGGCTTGGCTTAAGAACTCACAGAAAACTCAGCTATAACTAAGCCTATCAGAAAAGGAGAGCACAAAAAGTTTGGGGGAGTAATATGGGTATGCACCCTGTGTAGTAAGCACGTTAAAAATGGGAAAGTTCTCTATAAACAAAAACAGAAAACATACAGATATAAACTTTATATAGGAGGATGCTTTAAAAAGTGATTGGAAAAGTTCCATTACTTTTTCATTCTTTTCCATGAACTTTCTGAATCCCCCTCATATTCATTTTTATTCTTGTTGAGAATATATATTGTAAAACACAGACCAATTCAACAGTTTCTACAAATCCATTTTTATCATAAGGTTGATAGACTTCAAAAGAATATTTGTCTTACAATTGACAGCTGATTAATATATAGGTTATTCTCTTTTGAAAAAGATCTAGTACTCTTAAGAGTCACATGGAATACACGTAACAACTCACTCTGGTCCTCAGCTAATATCATTTTGCATGCCAAGCATGAGATTAGATTACCTGTATAGAAGCATGGGTAAGATGCATGACTTAAATGTTATAAATCATCAAATCCAATTTGAAATCAACATTTTTTTCAGTGAAGTCTTACAACAGTGATTTTAAACTTGATGTTCTTGAAACATGTAGAAAAAAGTACTTGAGTTTTTAAATTGAACAATCACCAGTAAATACAGCAAAAGGAGAACCGTAGTATCCCATACACACAGAGTACAGTGAGATGGACCATCGCATCATTGCCACCTGACTAAAGAGCCCAGTACTGCCGATTGTTTTTACCTCATAGAAACCACGCACTAAGCTCTCTGTCTGTTGTACAACACCCCTCTCAATCCTCCACTTCACCATCCTCTCAATGTATTCCTTTTTATTCTTCTCTGTGACTGGGATATTGGCACCCCCTGGCTTCAATTCTCGTTCAGTAATCTGAAATTAAAAACAAACAAACCAACGAACAAAACGATTAACCATAAAGCAAGATTGATGCTATAATAACTGCTTCACTGAGCTGAAGTCAGGCAGCTATCCATCACTGCTCTGCCCCAGACACTTTTCACGAGCAGACACCACACAGGGAACACATTCTGTCAAGTGTGCTTTGTGTTGAGACATACACTAAACAGCGCTCAGTAAAAACTAGGAGTGAGTTGATGTTTGAAAGCGTCAGTGTTCGGAAAAGAAAAATGTAATGCAAGAGCTGAATGTTAAGTTTTAAGTTCTGACTAAAAAGTTTAGTCTTTTAAATAAAAATTAATTGGCTCCAGGATCTGGCCCACTGCTCTTGGAATATTTGACAAAAACACATTTTCACAAACTCCTTAAGGGTTCAGAATTGGCTACATACAGAAAGCCAATATTTAATACTTTAAGGAAGCAGAATTATGCTCACGTGAATGTTGAAAGCATCCTTTTCAAAAGACACGAAATTGAGAAGATCAGTCAAACAATAATATACTTATAACTTAGTATATATTTCTGAAAGAATATTTTAATATATTCTTCTACCAATTTTAAAAAAGAACACTGTCTTCAAACTTTGTGTTCAAACTTTGCCCAAAATATTGATTTTCCCTCAGTTTCAAAATAATTTTATTTCAGTTCTTACATCTGAATGATAGCTTAGTACATATGCCAATTGAATAATTTAATAGTCAATTCTGGGATCGTGTAGACTTCTAAAAACTTTGTTCTAGACAAGGCACATTCTTGTTTGGATAATTTAGTTGGAAATAAAAATAATACTGGTTATAATACTTAAATGGTTATATGTTAAAATCATAATCTGCAGTTGCCAATAGAATAATCTTTGCAGCCAATATTATAATAACTGTATGTGAACTTGGGTCTAAATTACCAAGCAGGTCACTAATATGATCCCTAGTCACTGAATTAATTCTTTACCAGCCAACAACATTCAATCCGCGTTCATGTTCTCATTCACAGACCTGCCCAAAGACTTCTTCATTCACAGTGAACGTGAGGTCCAGGATGTCATGGATGTCATTATCTTTCATCCACTGCAGGCTCTGGTGGAACTCTTCATCAAGATATTCGAGATCACTTAGGTCACACAGACTAAGATGACAAATAGAAGAAAATAGGCAAGCAAGCATGACTATAAGCAAAAACATAGAGTCACAAGGGAAGAAACTAAGAACTAAAGGCAAGGTTCAGATCCAGGAAATAGGCAGTGACTATTGGGATTTCTAAAATTCTGAGATAAGTAATCAAACTAGTGAAACAATTTTGAAACTTGGCATACAATTAGAAAATCCTGGATGTATAAGATGCCTTAGGATCAGGCTGTGTTTCGTGCTATTGCTTGTAAGGTCGCTATAAGTTGGAACTGACTGGATGGAACCTAACAACAACCACACAAACCAGTCTGTCTCTTCCTTTACAACTACACAACTGGAAGTTTCAGAGCAGTTTGCCATTTTTATGCTGTTGTTCAGGGCTCGCGAGTCAGTTCTGACTCATAGTGACCAGGATTTCTGAAGAGCGGCTGGTGGGTTTGAACTACCAACCTTGTGGTTAGTAATCCAGTGCTTAGCCTACAGAGCCATACCAGGAATTACCCAAAATAAATGCCAGAGCAGAAATTGGGAGATGAGCCAACAATTTGGGTTCAGTATTCTTTTCAGCCACATTAAACTGCCTTAAAATATTATTCTCTTAATTTGTGATTATATATTTCTATACCTTACTTGAATATTTTTAAAGACTAGATTCTGTGATTTATGTTCACATACATCCCCTTTCTTTTTCATGGTTCTTTAATTTTTCTGTGATTCTTATAAACATCAATTTGTAAATGAAGTTTCTTTACAATTAAAATGTATTTCCATATTTCTCCCCTCTACGAATTAGGCTGCGAACCTTAAGGTCAGCGGTTCGAAACTACCAGCTGCTCCGTGGGAGAAAGATGAGGCTTTCTACTCCTGTAAAGATTTACACCCTCGGAAACCCTGTACAGGGTCGCTATGGGTCGGAACCGACTCGATGGCACATAACAACAACAACAACATCTTACAAATCTAAATTGTTGTTATGTGCCATCAAGTCAGTTCTGACTCATAGCTACCCAGTATAGAGTTTCTGAGAGTGGCTGGTTTGAACTGTGGACTTTGCAGTTATCATGGTTAGTAGTCCAGAGCTTATCCTACAGAGTCACACCAAAATTCAGGGAACTACATAGTGATAGGAGTTCTGGTAGCGTAGTGGTTATGAATCGGGCTGCTAACCTCAGAGTCAGCAGTTCGAAACTACCAGCTGTTTCGCGGGAGAAAGATGAGGCTTTCTGCTCCTGTAAAGATTTATAGCCTCGGAAACCCTTACAGGGTCGCTATGAGTTGGAACCGACTCCACGGCACATAACAACAACAACAACATAGTGATAGTGGTGGTTGTGTACTATGGAGTCAGTTTAGACTCATAGTGACCTTGGTGGAACAGTCAACCTTATGGTTAGTAGTCCAGTGCTTATCCTACAATTCCACACTAGAGCTCAGGAACCTAAATGTTATTACTGTTAAGTGCCATGGAGTTGGCTCTGACTCACAGCAACCTTGTATAGGGTTTCCGAGGGGCAGCTGGTGAATTTGAATTGCCAGCCTTGTGGTTCGCAGTACAGTGCTGATCCTACAGCACCACACAAGTTCAGCTGCGATCTACACAGGTGGAGTTAATACTACATGGCCTTGTTTTCAGATGATAGACATTGATTTTCTTTAGCTGTTGTGAAATTTCTCTATCAGTCTAATTTCAAGGGTCCTTTGGTTCTGATTCAATCTGAACATCTCTTGGGCATCAACTATGTGCCAGACATCATAATAAGTACTTGATGACTAGTACTCAATAACCTCCCTCAAGGAGCTCCTGGACTAGCTGGGCGACAGGTGCACATACAAATATACAAATAAATGTAAGGTAGTAAGTCCTGGTGTGGCATTGTGGGTTAATGTGCCAGACCGCAAAGCTGTTTGAACTGCAAGGCCGGCAGTTCAAGTTCACCAGATGCTCCTTGGAAACCCTATACAGGGTTGCTATGGGTTGGAACCAACTCGACAGCACTTAACAACAACAAAGTGGTAAGTGATGGCATAGGGTGGGTAGCACTTACAACTCATGAATTTTTGTGCGCACTTTACACTTCAATTTTATAAAATGTTGATACAGAGAGCTCACTCTCAAGCAAACATGAAGGGCGTTTACTTCTACCTGAGAATTCATAAAATGCTTTTTAGAGCAGATGAAATCTACACTAAATTTGGCAGGTGTTTAGTAAACGGTGAAAAGAAGAGGAGAATGGAGAATGAGATAACAGTACAAAAAAGCACAAAAACATGAAACAATCAGAATACTAACTACAAGCAGACTGGTAGTACTTGAGAGGGAAGCGTAAGACTAAATTCCCAGAGAATTCAATATGGCTGGTAAGGTAGCTGGCAGAAGGCCCAGGGTGTCATTCAAAGAAGCTTGGCAATTCAGAACTATGGAAACATTTTAAAACAAAGAATGACATGGTCAGATTGTTATGGGTGAGTTTTAAATCATTCCCCTGAAAGTCACAGTGTAGAGATTTAAAGAGGTAGAGGTGGTCGTGGGGTTATCATGAGAGTATATTGTTTTTGTTAGGTGCTGTCGAGTTGGTTCTGGCTCATAGTGACCCTGTGTACTACAGAATGAGACACTATTCAGTCCTGCACCATGTTCACAGTTGTTGTGAGCCCACTACTGCAGCCACTGTATCACCACCTCACTGGGGGTCTTCCTCTTTTTTGCTGACCCTCTACTTTATTAACTAAGCATGACGTCCTTTTCCAGGAACTAGTCCCTCCTGATAACATGTCCAAACTACATGAAACCAATTAACAGATCACTTTAGTAATCCGTCAAAAATAAAAAAGGGTGTTACTTAAGTCAGGGCTGTTATGGGGTCCTAGTGTGGTGCTATAGAATAAGCACTGGATGCTAACGCAAGGTTGGTAGTTCAAACCTACCAGCTGCTCTTCAGAAACCCCATGTAGGGTTGCTATGAGTTGGAACCAACTTGATGGCACTTAACAGTAACAACTTATGGGTGAAGAGGAGAAGAAGAAATTAAGAATGACTTAGGAAGAAATAAGCAAAAATCAGTAAATTTTATGGAGTATTATAAAGAGCTAAAACAGAAGTGGCAAATAAACTCATGTTGCAAGTCGATTCTGTTTAGCTGCCAGATTGGAGTACTATACACATTGGGAAGATTTCTGAGGTGACAACGAGTTTAGCAGGAAAAAGTATTACAGACATACATTATTTGTCATATATACCATTCTTATTAACAGAGAAAAGATTGAAGTTGTCAAGGACTTCATTCTTCCTGGATCAACTATCAACATTTGCAGAAGCAGTAGTCAAGAGATCAGATGACGTATTGCATTGGGCAAATCTGCTGCACAGGAACTTTTTAAAGTGTTAAAGAGCAGAGATGTCAGCTTGAGGACTAAGGCGCACCTGACCCAAGCCATGGTATTTTCAATAACCTCATATGGATGCGAAAGCTGGACAGTGAGTAAGGAGGAT